CCCCCTAAAAAAAAAAAAAAAAAAAAAAAAAAAAAAAAAAAAAAAAAAGAGGAAGAGGATAGTCATGTAGGCTAAATTTAGTGAAAATATATGTGGAATTAAAATGTAAATAGTTGACATAATTTGAAGAGTTGAATGGAATTCTATACTTGAGTGTTTTCATTTGAAATTTATAAGAAAAAAATATATTTACAAAGTATCCTCCTTTCACTGCAATTCTGATATTTGTGAGAGAAAATAAAATTTCATCTGGGTATTTAAGCAAAGTAGTTAAGTATAAGGATTAGTTATAACTTGGTTGGGCCCAAAATTCCCATCAGTTTCATCTATATGTTTAAATGAAATGGCTCCTTAATTATCTATACAGCAAGCCTTGGAATAATGTTTTATTCAATGTCCTGGCCAGGGCCACTGTCTGTGTGGAGTTTTACACATTCTCCCATGTCTTTGTAGGTTTTCTCCAGGGACTCTGGTTTCCTCCCATACCCAAAAGATGTGCACATGAGGTGAGCTGGAGTGTATATATGGTCCTAGTGTGAGTGAGTGTGGGCATAGGTGCGCCCTGTGATGGAAGGGCGTCCTGTTCAGAGTGGGTTCCTGCCTTGTACCCTGAGCTGCAGGAATAGGTTCTGGTCATCCAGAACTGGAATAAGTGGGTTGAAAAGTCATTATCTTACTTGTTTTTATCAACTTTCTTAAATGTATGTATAGTCCATATTTATTTCAATTTTTAATATCAGAAGTGTTTTAGGTCTTTGTTTAGAGGTTTGGTGATGCTTTTTGACCAGAAATATGCCATAGGAACATAACAAAGAAGTTGTGGCTGATTAGAATACGTAGCATGTAGATAACTCTTATGAGTGTTAGCAAAGAACTAGATACACTAAAAAAATAAAAATAAAAAAAAATAAATCCAGAAATCTCCTTTCCTAAGGGCCTAAATTGGACTTAAAAGATTCAAAGATAAGCAAGGATCAACTTCTGTACCATTAAGATATGGGAAATGAGTCTTGTGATAATACAATAGTAATTCTGGGCCTATTCCAAATTATCAAAACCTGTCACAATTCACATTTTTCACTAACAACCAATTTGAAGTGCAACTTATAAGGAAGGAAAGAGATTTGGAAGTTAAAATTATTTCAAGAATTCTGCCTTGCTAGAATAAAGATCTGGGGTTGGAGTTATGTTTTTTTTTTGAACCTTACCTGAATAAATGTTAAATATAATTTGACAGCTAAGCTTGTTTAGACGCAGAGAGTTGGGGTTCCTTTTTATTCATAGTGAAATCTACATGGAACTGCATATGCCAGATTTTTCCTTGACTGTGGAGAAAAATGAATGGCAACTCTGAGGAAGAGACACGAGCAATCAAGGCTTCTTGTCGGGTGAGCCCAGTGGTGTTGGAATGAAGGAAAGGCACACAAAAGCACAGGGTCCTACACCTTTGGAGATGGAAGGTGCTGCTGAGGCCACTTGGCTTGTGGACTCCCACTGTGTGCAGGGATTTCTGCAGCTCTGAGGATCTTCCTTAGAGACAGCTGCAGGGAATAAAGGGTGGTACTCTGAGCACCCAACACTCTCTGAAACCAAGAAGGGCCCATCTGATTAACATATTTGGGTCCTGCATAAAACTTTGAATGAAAAAAGACTTCACTGTAATGGCATAACAATGTTTGTAAAGCATTGTAGTTGGGGTCCCCTTGCCCCCACCCCTATTCCAATGGTATTGCAGGATTATGAGAAGAAAATAGCTAAGGATGGATGCTCATGAGCTAGTCTCATGCTTGTATGCATTTTTTTCAACAGATATTTATGAAGCTTCCATTAAGTACCACCTAAAGTGCTTTGTCAATATTCCAGAGTGGCTAGGATGAGCCACATGACAACCTGAATATGGATACCAGTTTTCTTGTCGGTTGGAGTGAAATGATTTGATAACAGTTTGCACATAATAATTTTTAATATGCTCAGCATGTATTCCAAATAGAATTATCAAGAAATGACAAGCTTCCCTTTTCCACCCACATTACAGAACTAGATATGGGCATCTGAATGATGAATTGATGACTTGTGATTTTTCATTTCCAAAGATATTCACTCTGTTCCAAAAATTGGCGGGGGAATAACTGCAGGGAGTCACAAAGGCTGGCACAGTGGGAACTGATGGTTTGCGCTTGAAGGAAGCAGAGGAAAAGTAAACCCACTGCTTGGAACTCTGCCCTTTGATTGTTAGAGGGCAGTGATGTATGCCACGGGAGCTGTAGCCACACCCAGCACAGGAACAGACTTTGGGGCTCATGGTATGAGTGACCATGGACTAGTATGTTGCAGAACATTCTGGTGTATTCCAGTATTCTGAGGCTTGTATCTTCATGGCCAAGATCCCAAGGCAGACATGAGGTTCTGAAGCCCCCTGCTTTAGCGAACTGGCTGAAATTTCTGGCTTCTGAGCAGAGGACCAAGAGAGGAATCAAGTTAACTTGGAATGCTGGAACTCAGGTGACCAACTCATCCAAGTTTACCCAGGACTCTCCTGGTTTTAGCACCAGAAGTCCCATGTCCTGAAAACCCTTTCATTCCCAGGCAGACTGGAATGAATAATCATCCTAAGGAAATAAGAGCCAAGTGAGTAGACTGGGTATTTCAGTAACAAACCACCACAAAAGTTAGTGGCTTAAAACAACTACTCTTATTTGCTCACCATTCTGCACTCTAGGCTGGGATCAGCTGGGCGGGTTTTCTGTTGGTCTTCCTAAATATTATTTGTACGGCTGCATTCAGCCAGTGGGTTGGCTGGAGGCTAGGCTCAGCTGGGATGCAGAGACATCTGGGCCATGTTCCCTGTCCAAGTAACTTCAGGGCCTCTTCCTTTCCATTCGCCTATCCAAGGGACTTTTTACAGCAGGGAAGCTGAACTACATGGAGGCACAGGGCTCCTCAGAGTGCAAAACCTGCTTGCCTTCTTAGGCTTAGGCCTGGAACTGACACAGTGTAATTCCACCGTATCTTATTGGTAACACCAGTCACAGTGCCATTCTAGAATCAAAGTAGGGGACACAAGGAACAGTTCATAGGGGGCTACCAATGTAACAGTCTACTCCAGAGGTGCAGATGCTGACATGGACTCCCAGGTGTCTGATTCACTCTAATCTGTTTGCTGCACCACCTTCATTGGTCTCCTCATACTCTCAGGTAGAACAGAATATGAATAAATTGACTAACAGAGACTTCAAGAGCTCTAGGTAGGGGTATCACAAGTTTATCCCCATTATTACTACTTCTGCTAAACATATAGAGGATGGCACATCCTTGTTTAGGTTTCCAGAAGGGTTGCAAGAAGCAACAGGTTAGGAGGCCTAGGTTTTACAATACTGATGGGAAGCAAAAAGGACGTGACTCTTCTCTTCCATGCAACACTTCTTGGGGAGTGAATGCCTATGCCAGGGTCTCTGCTCAGGGCAGGAAGGACAGAGATCAACAACACACAGCACCTGGCTCAAAGAGCTGACTGTTGTTAAACACAGAACCTTCCCATCCATGCCCCAAATCTTGTCTTAAGTTTAAATGAGTGTCAGCATTGGTCCTTCCCTCCTTTCCTCTCTACCTGCCTCTCTACTGCAGTTCTGACCCCTGCACTGACCTGGTTTCCCAGTCAGCTTCCCTGAGCAGTGAGCCTCCCTGTAAGGCGAGGCCCAGTCCTTCTCCCTGAACACTGGGAAGGTGAGGGATGCACTCTCTGGCCAGAGTGGTCCATGTGGTACTCCTGGACGACGAGCCCAGCGCCCTCCACGTTAGAGCAGCTCCAATCCTGCTAGCTACCACCCCCCCAGTCTTTCCCTTTCACCTTTTTTTTTTTTTTGGCCTGGTG